CTTTTCCCTTGTCTCGATTCGCTTTGTCAGTTCTTCGAGCATCTTTATGATAGCAGGATTGGTCTCTGATTCCTTCTCATTCAATTTCCTAGAAGTTGATTCGAGCCTATGTACAATTTCCTGGGATGGCTCGAGTTCGACCCTGCTTGGTGTATGGTTCTGATTTTGGAGCTGGGCTATTGCTGCCTGTTGGGCCTGCAACATTTCGAAGATCACCCACAGGCTGATCCCGCCATCCTCACCGCCATGTGCGTTCTGAGTAGTTAATCGGGTACCTCTACGAACGTTGCTTTCGGGATCGACGGCCAAATTTCCATTGATGGCTATATGCGAATTGACGTCGATTGGATCTACAGCCGGAACTCCATCGATGCCAGTAGGGGTATAATGTTTCCTGGCGCAATGTTCACATTCTCGCCGTGGTGGCTGAGATCATTGTCAATGTGTTGAGGTGCTGATTGAGAGTTTGATATTTTTTTAATCCTATAATCAAAGACACTTCAAAGAACAAGCATAAAATAGTATGTGTTACGAAAATTTGTACCAGGCAATCATTATTATCCTTAGCCCCACGGTGGGTGCCAAATTGTTTACCCTAAAAACGGATGACAATTGAATTTATATTGTGATTTTAAGGACACGTGATTTTACTTGGCACAAACTGAGAAAAGGCGCAAATTGATATTAAAATTAACTGCAAATAGAAATAAAGCAAACTAAAGAAAATGTGTAGCTTTGATCCTAGAGTTAAGTTGCCCTTGAACCAAATGAATATTTCACCAGAAAGTATGAATAAAGTAACAGAAATATTGAGAGCTTAAGAGAAAGAGAATATATTGCTTTATATAACATGAATCTCCTCCCTTTTACAAATGATCAGACCCCCTTTATATAGTAGGGGAATCCTACCCTTAATACAATCCTAAACATGGTAAGAAATCTCATGATTAGCTGATTAATCGGCCTCTTCTTGATAGGTGTCGAGATTTCTGCCGTGATCCTTGCCCGATCGCGGATATCTTGGCTTTCCATTATTTGGCTCGGCAGGCTTCCCTCGATCTTGCTTGATCTCTACCCTGCTCGGTCTCGATCTTGGCTGGTCTCGGTCTCGATCGGTCCCTAAGTCACGAGCTTGGCCATCTAACTTCATGGAGTTTTTAGCTAATATTGTCTCTTATCTTTGAGGGTAGGTCTATTTTAGTCCCTCAAATATAACCCTGAGCATATTTTGTCCCTTAAGTATGCTAAAGTGGAGCAGCTTTAGTCTCACTGACACAATGTGTTCAAAAACTAACGGTGTTATCCAACTCTAATTCATGAAGCAAATCTTCTGCTCTAAAGCAAAACGGTTCCTCTCCTTTTATTGGATAACACAAATTATCACTTTAATTCCTCATTTTTAGATAATGTCTTCTAAAATTTTGACCTTGAAAATATTCCCTTTTGTGCTAGTTTTCAATGAGAAAATGACACTGTATGGCCGCTGTAAAAATAATAGCCGAAAAAATATATAAAATTTTTATATATAACAACAACAACAACCTAGTAAAGTCTCATTAAATGGGGTCTGNATATGTATACATACATATATATATATATATAACTTTATACAAAAAAAATATAACTTTTATACATTTTTCGGCTATTATTTTTACAGTGGCTATACAGTATAATTCCCACTGAAAACTGGCACAGAAGGAGATATTTTCAAGGTCAATATTTTAGAAGACATTATTTAAAAATGAGGAATTAAAGTGGTAATTTGCGGTAACCAATAAAAGGAGAGGAAACGTTTTGCTTCAGAGCAGAAAATTGGCTTCATGAATCAGAGTTGGGTAATACCATTAGTTTTTGAACACATTGTGTCAGTGAGACTAAAGGTGTTCCACTTTAACATACTTAAGAGACTAAATATGCTTAGGATTATATTGAGGGATTAAAATAGACCTACCCTCAAAGATAAGGGACAATATTGGTCAAAAACTCTAACTTCGCGTCATGGTCCGGTATGACATGGGGTCGACCCCTGGCCTATCACGCCCCCGATCTCGATTAATCATAAAAAAGGGTAAGCCCAATTTTGACCGTATATAATATTAGCCACAAAATCTCTAGTTATTATAATTTTAAAAAAAAAAGGTAAAATACCTAAAATAGGAGCGGTTTCCTCAATGTTCAAGGTGGAGAAACAACTTTTTCCGAAATTCGAGTAACAATCTGCTTCTATGCCTCGAATATACCTTGAATTTTATATTTTTTTGTAAAAGATTGAACAAATCCACGCGGCGAGACCTGGACTTGCCGTTAATGGCATAATTTAAAAGGGAGGGAGGACCGTTTTGCGCCCTTTTTGTCGGGGAAGAAAGGATTTAAAATATGGGTACATATGGGAGATTTATATTTATACCCGCTTTTTGGGTCACGTTTTAACTTGTGCCCGCTTTGCAAAAAAAATTGCAAACGTACTCACTTTTTCGCGTAAACGGGGCTGAAGTAGCAAAGGCAATCACGCAAAACTTCAGCATTCTAGTAGACGGGAACCAAGTGTGCTGAAGTTTTTGTTTGTAATTGCTGAACTTAAGCATAGTAGCTAAAGTTTTGTTCTCTATTTGCTGAAGTTTTTGTTTGTAATTGCACTAAATAAGCTGAAGTTTTTTTGTCCTGGATTCATTAGTTTTGTCATTAAATTTTTTCACAAACTTCAGAAGAAGATGCTGAACTTATTTAGTTCATTTATACAAAATTCAGCACTAAATAAGCTGAAGTTTTTTTGTCCGGGATAAGCTTTTTCAAAAACTTCAGCAGAAGATGCTGAAGTTATTTAGTTCATTTGTAAAAACTTCAGCACTAAAAGCTGAAATTTTTTTGTCCTGTAATATGTATGATCTCATTCAGATAACTACTAATGAGCATGTCCTTTACCATTTTTCCCAGTACCTCTGAATCAGTGACATTTGCATTCTTTTGGCATGGCTAAAAGTGGAGGCATTAGGATCCTAAACTTCATCGTCACTTAGGTATGATCTTTTCCCTTTAAATTATAGGTACCTAGTTTAGTAAAAAGCAATTTATGTTCTTATTTTTTCATCTGGTCTTTGTCTTAATATGAAACGACGCCTTATTAACTTCATCTAATAATCTAAGACAAGCGGCTGACTGATGCTTTATACAGTAGGACACAATATTGATCTCAAAAGAATCAATATTGTATCGGTAAAAGTGGCAATTTGTGGAGGCATACATACACATTACAGTACAAAGTCTCTCATGGGAGTGTTCAGGTAGCAGAAGAAATAAGAAGAAAACAAAGGAGGAGAAGGAGGAGGAGAAAGAGGGCTGAAGTTGTTTAAAAAGTGGGTACAAGTTAAAACTTTTTTAAAAAATGAGTATAGGTTAAATGGGGGCGACCAAATAAGGCGCCCCGTGCAATTTTTACGTACATATATCGCATGACGCCCATACGCTATATTACTTTGGACTGAAAAACTTTCGTTAGGCTGGGATATTAGCCCAGAGTGATATAACGCATGGGTACCATACGTTATTTGTAGTTCTGTTCCTTTTTTGTGTTACGTTATTTTGGTCTTTTAAGGTAATTTTGCGCTGCTTTAGTTTTGGACTTCATGACTTAATTAAGTCGTTGGTGTGCTCTTATCTTGGCGCGCTTGATTACACCTTCAATTTTTATTGTAGTTCCTGCTTCTTTCTAATGCTATATATGTGCAAAATCTTGTTACTGATGTTACTTTCTTTTTTGATTTTTCACCCGATATTCATATTGGGACTCAATTAAATATAAATTTGCATTTTATGATTTAGCCGAGCCCCATGCTAATGTCGAACACGAGATGAAAAATCCAAGAAAATAAAATAGGAACCCCGATAATATAAAAGTTGAGGCAATATTATCAATCTTCTAGTAGTCTGATGTTTCTCTTTCAATAATCCTTTCATAGTCTAATCATATGTGCAAAATCTTGTTACCAATCTTACTTTATTTTTATTTTTTTGGTTTTCACCCGAGTATTGGCACCCATGTGACCCAACTGAATTCGAATTCGTAGCGTAAGATCCTGATATGAATACCGAATACCAAATGTGAAATTAAAAAATAAAATATGAACCTCGACCATGTAGTATCAATCTTCTGATAATCGGATGTTTCTCGTTCAATCCTTTGATAGTTTAATTCCTCTTTAGTTTGGCACTACTGTCCATACCAAAAGACACCAAAACTCATGACTTCATTAATCGCTGATGTACTCTTACGTTGGCGTGCTTGACTACATCTTCCACTTCTGTTGTACTTTCAGCTTCTTTCTAATGCTATATTTGTGCAAAATCTTGTTACTTATTTTATTTTATTTTCCACTCGGTGTTTATTACTTGACTAAATTCGAATTGGAAGTTCCATATTGGAGAAGCGATTTACCCTAATTGGGACTTCCCGGAGCAAATCCAAATTTAATCGTGCCTTAAACTGAACCAGAGTTAGTACTCGGCCATAGGCTCAACGGCCAGACATTAGCACTTAAATTTGCGATGCGAGCATCCCACCCACAGGGGACCCCTTTTTACTGATGGCCACACAAGCCTCACCACAGCATCTCATTTCAAGCTTACAGACAAAGGGAGAAGAGCCATAAATTAACTCTCTTGCTTAACAAATTGCAGTTGAAACAGCATTTATTGTTTGTAGGAACTCTAGTAATTGGGCTCAATCTTTAGCCAAGTGGTGGTGCCTAAAATTTATGCATATGCAGTTATTTTGGATGTGGAAGAAAGAACTCAAAATTTTCAGAAAGAGCAACATCGATAGAAGAGTATGCAACTGAGTTGCTATAGCTTATTACAAGTCCAGACAAACATGTTCATGGGTATTATCAGAAAGAGGGAGAAGATTGATAAAGCCTCCTGGGGTGTGCGCGTGCGTGTGCTCAGAGAGAGGAATGCAGCAGCAGCTTATGCTGTGCAGCAAGTCAAGATTACATGCAAGACAGTTAACCACCCTTTCCACAGTAAGAAACAAAAACGAATCAGAGTGTAAACAAAGGTCAAAACATAGTTGACCTTAGAGAGCTTCGACTTGTTTACATTTTGAGTATTGAAACTACCCGATTTTCAATTACATTGCCTACTTTCATGGCCTTACTTTGACAGATAATGTGGTAAACAAACAACAGAAGGCAGTTTCCTCAGCTTGTTTTTGTACAGAAAATTTGTGTACATCAAAATTTTAGAGAAAGTAGGTCGCCAATGACCTGGGGTTGTGGGCATGTAACTTGATAGTCTTGCCATTCATCTGGACTGTATGTCAAATGTAAATTGGTAAAACAACGCAAAAAGGAGGGCATCAGAAACTTCTCCTACCCAGGCTTCCCAAGAAAAGAAGAAGAGCCAACTTGTTTCACTTGAGAGAATTTGTCTTCATAGCAACCTCTTGGAGGATATTGAAATCTGATGGTCCATGAGTATCTATAAATCCTCGAACTGACAGTTCGGGCACAGATTGTTTTCCTTCCAACATCTCATGATCTATAAAGATGACAACAACTGTTATATCATCATGAAAGGCCCTCCTCGCACCCTTGTCATACTTCTTAAGGTCATCATACTTCAACTTCCTTCTCCTTGCTGCCTCATCCAGGGCTGATATAACAAGTCTTCTTGCGATGCCCTGATATATTGGATGAAATACATATAAGTTTAACCAAACAAACATAACAATAAATCTACGGCAGAATAAGAGAAAATTATTAAACGGGAAAAAAAAAGGAGATACCTACCTCTCTTGGGTTATTATGCACAATCTCGACAGCCTTTTGATTGCTTATGAGTTCCCACAGCCCGTCAGAAGCAAATATAAGAAATCTATCACCGGGTTGTAAGTTTCTTGAACATACAGATGGATCAGCTCTTAGCACTGGCCGAATAAGTGGTTCTTTAAGATGGAATCGTGGGTAAGCTGGACCAACAGCAAACTCTGGCTTCTTCAGATATGCATCTCCAATTGATCTAGATACCTAATAGATGCAGGCACAAACATAAAGAAAATGAATATAACTAATCAAATGCAACAGAGTGCCACAGATTTGGAGAATTCACAAGAAATCAAACAGGAAAAGATATGGTGAGAAAAAATGAGACCAAGCCAAAAATTCAATGAATTGCACTCGAACTTCCCTGAAAATAAAATAATCCAGTTCCTAATATGTGAATACAGCCTATACTTGCTTTAGACAAGTAAAATAAAATACATATAATCTCACATAATGAAATGGAGTAGTGATTGCTTTGTACAACCACACTATATCATGTAGTAAATCAATGCAATATAAAAGACCTAGGTAAGACAATCAGAACAATAAAGATTTTTGATACAGCAGCTATCATGAAAGTCGAGACAAATATATGCAGTAAAAGGCAGAAGCAGATATGGACTATGGTGTAAAAGGCCGAGGCAGATATAGTGTAAAAGGCCGGGGCAGAACTAGTTCAGTATATTTGGGTGTACTTAACAGTGATCTTCAATATAATGGGAGATCACTTCTCCATATCATTCCAATTTTATGGAATGTCCTCAAAGGGACAACAGGATATCACTTCCCAAGGTGACAAAATGGAACAAGTCCATTGTTCAATTTCAAAGGTTCTGTTTCAGAGGTATCCAAGGATATCATGAGGTAAAAATGTCTTGTTCTTAGAAAAACCCACCAGAATAGGATAAGATATTTGTATTAGAAGCTAGAAAATTACTATGTAATTTGAGTTTTAGCTCACTAATTTTCTGATAATATTAAGGAGTTGGATGGAAAACTAGATTGATTTTGATCAGAAAGAATGCGCATCTGTCATGAGATATTCAGAATGGATATAAAATTCAAAATGGCACATAACACAAAAGCTTGTGTTCTATATTACTTATAAAAGCAAACCTGTATGATGCCTTTAACACGCCAAGCTCCATTGACATTAACCACAATGCGTGAATCGTCTGGGTGCAACGACATCAGTTCCTTCCTAACCTCCTCGATACTGGCATTATGATCCTTGGTCAATTGCTCAGCAAAAATTTTATTTGATCTCCCTATATGACCTAATACTGCTCTAGAATCGCCAAGGTTAGCAACATACAACGTCCTTTTCCAGATAACACCAACCAGACAGCAGCAACCCTTAGTTGCAATTAATGGTGTAATACCAAATGCCCTTCTCACAAGAGAAAGAAAGCCAACTTCAGTTGCAGCGAACGCATTTTTAAGCACTTCTTCATCTATTGTTCCATTTTCTCGGGCAAGCCCTGTAAGAAAAGATGTGCGCATTTAGCTTCCATGATCTCCTTAAAACTCTCAAATAATATATGAAAACAACACGAGAAAGTAGGAAAAGCGAGGTTTTATTCAACAGAACAAAAGATGGAAATGTAAGTAAGTGGATGATAATATTTGTCACCATACGACTCGTTAGTGAAGTAGAAGAATGAGAGTTTGACAACAGTGAGAATACCCCAAATATCAGTTTGCAGACTAAGATGAACTGGTTATTCATGATAACAGCGATGATTAAAAGGTCTTGTGTATTCTATTAAAAGTGTTAACGTTTTCCCTCTAAACATTCATATTCCTTTTAAGACGAGACTAAACACTTGTTTGCTTGAAAACATCAAGAGTACATTGAAGGAGCAACAAAAGCCTATGTAGTGAGTGAGCGGCAAAACCTCCACTTAATGACAATTGAAAACTTCTACTTTACATTTTACTTAACTACCAACTTATAAAAAAAACCACTTAAATACTGCTACAACATGCACTAGAGCAGACATAAACAGAATAAAGAAAATACTGCAACTCTTCACTTCTCACATACTCAAGAAATCACCATAAATATCATTTCTTCCAAAACTTGAAACAATTAATTGTTCTTATAGGCAGTAACATTTAAAAAGAAAAAAAAAAGAATTTCATTGTCAAAGACCACAACACCAACGCCTCAATCTCAAACAAGTTGTGGTCGACCATATGAATCCTCACGGACCATGTTCACCATTCATATTCATCACAAGCTAACATTGAGAAGTACTAGATGTTGCTAACGAATTGAGATATTAGGCCAAGTTTCTATTACTATTTGAACCAACCTTAGTCCTATTATTCCACTTTGACCCCGGTTGGTCTTTATAAAACTGTAGTTTGAGCATTGTAAGGTTATGTCTTGAACAAAAACCCTGTTTCCACTACCTTTTTCTCTGTTTTCCTGCAACTCTCCTTTATGTTTGTTTCTTGTTTGTTAATTTCGCACTATGTTTGCGATTCCCATGGCGCAAATTTCTTGCATAACAATCTCTAGTAGGGCTAAAAGACTCCTTGAAAGCATAGGACCTAAATTAAGCATATTAACATGACTAATAAATAAAGACTGCAGCAAAGAAAAAGAAAAAAGACAAATCTCACTAATTAAATGCAGGAAAAGGTGATCACGGACAAATCTTGAAGCCTCAGGGCCACCATGACCATCATAAATCGCAACAAAAGTAGCTTCACGACCAGTATCAACTTGGCTATGATCTTCAAGTACTGAATTAGCTTGGACTACAGCAAAAGAAAACTCCCCACATGAATGTTTCTCAAGGTCTCTACACCATAAAAGCACATCATCTTCACCTCCCACAAAAACATCATCTTCATCCTTGCTCATAGGGACATATCGACTCAATGGTCGCCAACATGCTGATACCGTCCTTATCAGCCAGGAAAACATCCTTCATTTCCTTTTTTACACTCTCAAACAAAGAACGGGTAAAATCAAGATTCAACAAAACAAAACCCCAATATTTCAGCAGTAAATGGAAACCCCCAAATTCAGAAAAAACTGAATATTGAATTCAATAGAAAAACCTCTGTTGTTATATCAATGCCATAAACGGTTCAACGAAAGCACAGTAGAAGTGATCAATGCAGATTAAAATAGAGGAGTTTTATTTTTTCCTCGGAGTAGTGGGTATTTATAGAGAGAGAAAGAATATATATAGAGAGAGANGTATCAACTTGGCTATGATCTTCAAGTACTGAATTAGCTTGGACTACAGCAAAAGAAAACTCCCCACATGAATGTTTCTCAAGGTCTCTACACCATAAAAGCACATCATCTTCACCTCGCACAAAAACATCCTCTTCATCCTTGCTCATAGGGACATATCGACTCAATGGCCGAAAACATGCTGATACCGTCCTTACCAGCCAGGAAAACATCCTTCATTTCCTTTTTTACACACTCAAACAAACAACAGTAAAAATCAAGATTGAACCAAAAAAAAACCCCAATATTTCAGCAGTAAATGGAAACCCCCAAATTCAGAAAAAACTGAATTTTGAATTCAGAATACTGTAAATTCAATAGAAAAACCTCTGTTTTTATATCAATGCCATAAACGGTTCAACGAAAGCACAACAAAAGTGATCAATGTAGATTAAAATGGAAGAGTTTTAAAAGGAATCTTTTTCTTTTCTTGGAGTTGTGTGTAGTTATAGAGAGAGAAAGAGTAGAGAGATAAAGAGATGTGTGAAATTGCAACAGAAAGAAGGGATTCTTGTAGAGAAAGAGAAGGTTTTGGGGGGTTTTGCGGGGGCCCCGGGAGAGAGGAGGGGGTGGGGTTGGCGACTTGGCGATTGTGTAGAGAGAAAGGTTCCACTTCCCCGGACATGAGGGGGTAATGGTTGTTTGTAGGCCCCTCTCTCCCTACCTTTATACTCCCATAAAAAAATAATTAACTATTATGAAACAATAAAAGAAAAGAAAATTGCATAGCAAAATAAGAGAAGAATTCTTATGGATTTGGGATAAATTACAATGTAATAAGACCCCTTTATTTATAGGGAAAGAGTGACTTAGCATTCCTATAATATAGACTTTCGCCTTAAATAAAACTCTATTTATAACACTCCCCCTTAAATGTTTATTCAACAGATAATGTGCATTGTTAAAACCTTAACTAAAATAAAACCTAGTGGGAAAAAATTCTAGAGAAGGAAAAAGAGTACACATATCTAACAATACGTCTTTTGGTTGTCTCGTTAAAAACCTTACAAAGAAAACCCAGTAAGACAAAACCTTGTAAGAAAAAAAAGTACAACGCGTAATAACTCCCCCTGATGAGAGCATCAATTCACATCTTTGAGTCTTCCCCAATTTTGTGCACTAGCTTCTTGAAGGTTGACGTCGGCAGAGATTTGGTAATAAATCACCCATATTAACTCCAATGAATATGTTGCACCTTGAAAATTCTCGCTATCACATTATCATGCTTATAATTATAGCAAGATACAAATGTGCATAAATTGTACTTAGGATGTAGTACTTCATGACCAAGAATTTTATATGCTTTAAGCGATTTAATCCTTCAAGGATTGTCATATAAGTTAAGTCATATAATAGACTTTAATTAAATGCATATCAAGTTTTCATGTCATGCTAGACAAATAAGATATCAAAAACTGATTGCACATATCATTGACTTTATACTTTCAAGTGTTTGAACTATATGCTCAAAACTACATGTCTTTCGTATGAAACCAATTCTATTTGAATTGTGTCTCTTCCATTTGGCCAATATTTTTGTGTATGCATTCAACAGACTTGAGGTCCTCATCTATACTTAGTGCTATTATAGATGTCCTCGACGAACATTTTATATCAGTTTCAATATTTTTTTCATAAAGACATAACATAGAAATCTCTTCATTCATATTTTCAGGTACCTAAACCTCTCTTGAGATTTTATGAAGTATTATGGCATGTGATCTTCTAGATCACTTGCCTCCTTTATTATGATCATTTTGATCATTTGCACATCTTCTTTATTAATAAGTTTATTTGAAACCGATTTGTCTATATGCTTTAAGCGTACCATAGACTTTGTCCTTCTAGGACTTAATATGAGCATTTGCAATGAGAATATAGTCACTTTCTTTGAGTCAGCAAATGTGTCTGGCATGCTTTGCAATATATTGCAAATGAATTATCCTTTTATGAACTTCAAGCTCATGTTATTTTATTTGAGGATCTTGATGTACACATGATAATTCATTCCACATAATTTTTTCTCAAATGTTTATCATGTCTTCCCCTCATGTTAGAAAAAGTAACTTGTTTCCTTAACTTTGAGAACTCATCTTTGTGCATTATGGTGTTAATCAAAATATACATCGCACATCAATAATAATAAGATGGAATTATTTGGTTCCTGACCCTGAACCACTTGTGAGGGGAGAAAATAATATACTTTCGTATATAACGTATATCAAACTGATATATATACACACACACACACACACAATATATATATATATATATATATATATATATATATTAGG